AAAAAAATCAAAACCGAAATTTATATACTCTGCTCATGTCAAGATTAGACAGCATAACAGCCAGCCTAAGTCAGTACTTCTCTGAATTACTATATTCAGTGCATCAATATTTACAGTATGAACCCAGAATCTTAAAAGTCACAATAAGGTTACTCATAACAGTGAATTGCAATGTATTAAATACAAAACCCCAAACAATAACAATTCCTAACAAAAAAATGTTTTAATATTAAGAATTTTCTCTAAGCTGTCAAATTAGAGCTTTTCAGAAAACCAACACATCTGTGTTAATAAGAGCCTTTCATTGCATTATCATGGATAACACTAGCCCCTTGGAACTGAAAACCTTTGGCTCAAAGATCTATTGTCTGACCTTAAGTCAGTCAAGTTTTACACCTAGGCTTCGAAACGTTAAAACAAAGAAGCTCCTTCTCTGTCTCAAACAGCTTGTGTAAAATCTCTCTAAAAGCCATTCTGACAGAGAAGCCAAAATTCTTCTTGATACTCACTCTTGAACATGAGTATTCAACCAAGAAACACAACCAAGAAAACTGTAGTCAGAACACAGAATGGGGAGAAAGACCAATACTGGGTTCCATTCTGTTGTTCCTCCTCACACCAATGAAAAGAAACATGCTTCACTCCTCACCTCAGCTGCACCATCAGCTGCCTTCTTCAGACTCCATCCATCATTACCCCAGTCATCAGCCACTGCCCGATCTGTGCAGATGATGAAGTTGTCAAAGAATATGTCAGAAGTCATAGACCATAACTCAAGCCCCAGAGCACTAACGGGAGTCATTTTGAAAGGCTCCAAATCTTCAAAGAAATCTGGGTTTGGAATCTTCCTGGGCTTCCAGATACCCTAGAGAAATGCAGACACCAATTAATTCCTGCACAAACAGTCACAATTCAGGTCCTGGAATGGTTCAGGAATGGCTCAGAATATCTGAAGCCTTTATTTTATTCACAGTTTTTATCCAAAATCCCATTACTGCCATATAAACTGTGCATATAATGGAGATTTTCCACAAACAATTTTCCCAACTAACATTTTACTATATTACCTACATTTGCAGCAGTGTTCTGTCTGTGTATCAGTGGGAGAGCACTTTCTTTTTCGACAAACTCCCAAATCCAATCCCTGACATCTCCAGTTATCTCTGACATCTTTATTTCTAAAAGTGGGGCTGTGAAAGACCTCTGTTTCAGGGCCTTGGAGACCTACTGTTGCTAGTCAAAGTAATCTTGTGATAGTTTCTCAGGTTTAAATGATAGTAATCACCCACCCTAAAAATGCAAAAAGTCTTCACTCACTTCTCATGCCTTAAAAATGCACACATGACTATAAAGTGATTTATACTCCTGCCATGCCCTGATACAATATATATCCAGCTTACCATATGCAATTGAATATAAACTAGCTCAAAATACATGTACCTTAACTGAGATCTAGAAATAGTTTCTATATAGAAAGCCAGCATAGTGTAGCAGTTCAGAATGTCTGACTAGGATCTGGGACACCCAAGTTGGAATCCCAGCTCTGCTATGGAAACTTGCTGGGTGACCTTGGACCAGTCATGGCCTAACCTTCCTTTCATGGTTGCTGTTGGGAGGATAAAATAGAAGGGAGAATGTTGCTGTAATACACTTATAGCTCCCCACTGGGGGGGGGGGGGGGGAAGGGGGGGAATGTGAGAGGATATGGGGTGAATCTAAATGAATAGTTCAGAATACAAGAGAGTTTACCTGGTAGTTAGGATTATCTATCATGGGAGGCTTCCATTTGCCTTTATAGCTGGGATTGTCAATCATGGGCCGCTGCCAGACACCACAGCCAGGGGCCGACTCACATTTAGGATTTGCAATCTGAGGTGCCTCCCACTCTCCATCCATATCCTCATCCCTGAAAAAGGAAACTTGTTTTAAGACTCCATGTTGGTTTTTAAAAAAAAGAAAATTAAGAGTGCCTTTGACCTATTACAACAGTTTGTCCTAAAACTCAATATGTGAACAGCAAACACAAGAACTAAATCACAGCAGTTCATAAACCCCTATGGGTTTTGTGTACTCATATTAACAGGTAGGCACAAACTATGTGCTACAATCTAAAGTTCAGATTGTTTTACACATTTCCTTTTTGAAGAAAAAATACAACAAAACCTAACTTAGGGATGATACAACACTAGACTAGCAGTTCTTATTCCAATAGAATTCCCAGATCAGCAAACCAAAAGTTTTGCACTTAAAATTGACATAGCTAGAGAGGTGGAGAAGATAGTACCCCGCAATGCCTACAACAATGGCACTCAGCATGAGGCCCCATTCCTCCTCAGATGCTGCTCAGTACAGGAACCAAGCACGACCAATCCTGTCTCAATAGCTGTTTCAGCCAGTTGCAAGGCAAAAAAAAATTCTGAATAGCCAGTTTGGCAGGCCAATGACAACAAACATCAATTTAGGTAAATCCCTGTTAACTTACCAGTCCTCTGGTTTCTCTGCATCAGGGTCAGCAACATATTCTGGCTCATCATCTAACCAGCCTTCTGGCTTCACAGCATCCTCATCCGGAATCTTAGCAGGAGCATCCTCATCCCTAGAGGAGGGCAGAAAAGACGTCATACTACTTGCTTTGCAAATATAAATTCAAGTATACTGGAATCACTTGCCGTGACATTGTTCTGCCTCAGATGGCAATAACAGCTTTCAGCAGATTTTATTTTAGCAGCCACCAAGTCAAAAATTATGGCAAAAAACAGCCTGAAAGAATGAACATGAGTCAACTATTCGCTCATCAGAAAAAGTAATAAGCGTTGCTATTTAAAGTTTCTGCTTCCAGAAAGTTCATAAGCAGCTTAGAAAGTTACTTGATATAGACCAGAGTGGGCAGACTACGGATGGAATCTTGCCTAAATTTTCCAGAATTGGCTGGTGGGGCAATGCTCCCCTTCCTGCTTTCACCATCACTGCTGCCACCTGGCTAAAGACTAGGAGGCAAACCAGATGAGGGCTTGTAAGAAAGTTCTGTGTGCAGAACTTCCCACTGGGCTTGTCTCACCAGCCACATGACACTGGTGTCAGTATGGTACTGAGCAAAAGCTGCCAGTCCCACTGGGCTTGCCTCACCAGCCACATGACACTGGTGTCAGTGGCAGCAATTGGTAGCATGAAGGGTGGAGTGTAGCACTGTCAGCTTGGCTTTCATGAACTCTAACTTGCTGTCTCCTCTGCAAGAATGGAGACCTAGCTGGCAGCAGCTAGCATAAGGCTGTATTGTCAGCTTGTCAGCTGCAAGAATGGAGAGCTAGCTGGCAGCAGCTAGCATAAGGCTGTTCAAACAGCATGGATGCAGGCCTATACAGTTATTGATGCTGGACCACTCACTCCACTACAGCCACTGTGTGTTCGCATGCACTTATGCAGCTTCCACAGCTGCAAGACATTTCCCAACAAAGCAATTTGGCTGAGTTTTGACCAAACATGCACAGACTACAGAACCACTGCCAGTCCATCTCCACTCTACCCACAAGATGACCACATCAATATTCTGCCTACTTCAGACATGAGGCTGGATCCAGTGATCCATCAGTGGAAGCTGGTGATGGTCATGGATCTTCCCCACATTTCCTTCTCCCCGGCAATCATTTCTCACCCCAGAGAAACATACTCACAGGATTGCAAGAGACACGTGGACTAATGGGGACTGCAATGGGGATGAGAAGGGTGAGAAATCACCCTCTCCTACCTTTTTGGGCAGCAGAGCTGTGCTGACAGAAGAGACAAAGAGAGTGATTTCATTCCCCTTGTCCACCCCACTGCAACTTCCTAACTCACAGACAGTTCACACAAATCCTGTGACCCCTGGGAATATACTGGCGTCAGAAAGGATAACAGGAACCTACCCATAGTAGTGAATAAGATGTTCTGGAATTACTATCTTCTCAGATGTGCTAGATATTCTATTAAAAATTGCCCCTTGTGTACATCTTTATCTGTAGAGTATCTGTTAAAGATGTCTCATTCCACCACCTACTCACCAATCATCTGGTTTAACAGCATCTGGATCTGGAATCTTGGCTCTCTCATCCCAATCCTCTGGCTTCTGATCATTCGGGTCCTCTATCTCTTGTGGAGGATTCACAGGAGGAGTCATATCAGACAGAAGATTCCCACTATTTACAACACTTTGATCAATGAGGATTTCAAAGCTGTTGTCTGGGTTCAAAACTAGGAGTGCACCCAAAGAAAAACAAAGAGAAAATGGATGCTTTTAAGGAGACAGTAGTGAAAAGAAAACCCTAAGAAGTTCTGCTTTCCATCTTTAATCTAGCATCCTCTTCAGATGTCAAGTACCTTCTTTCCTGTAGGTGTTACTAACTCAGCTAAATGATACCATCCAGCAATGTACATGACAGAATCTAATAACTGCATTACCACAATTCAACAGATCTTCAGAATCCTTAGAACTGTCAACTATTTTTTGAGTCAGTTAACCTTAGATTTTCAGGTAAGAGCAGCAGAAGAGTGCTATACCACTAAACACACATGGGAAATATAAAGAAAAGGCCAGTTCTTCACTTTCTTCTTTACAGCACAGTTCACTGTTACAATTTAGAGCCAGCACGGCACAGTGGGTTAGTGTGCTGGACTAGGACTCGGTAGACCCAGAATCCCCACTTCTGCCATGAAAGCTTTCTAGGTGACCTTTGGCCAGTCAAACACTGTCAGCCTAACCAACCTCACAGTTATCATGGGGATAAAGACGGAGGAGAAAGGAGAACAATGTGAGCCACTAGGGACCCCCAATGGGGAGAAAAGTGGGGTATAAAGTAATTAATAATATAATAATATGCATCGCTTTACCCAATGTATAAAGATGAGTCTTTTTATCTGTAAAGTAGTTCTTCAGGTCTGCATCAGGACGCTTTGCATGCTTCTCCTCATATTTGCCAGTCTTCGGGCTCTTATGCCGAAAGATGAAGTGCAGTTTGTAATCTTCCCCACATTTGTCAGGGCCAAACATGATTGTATAGGGAGTTTTGTCATGGAACTGATCCTTTAAAAATGAATGCAGAGGGAGCTTTTAACTAGGATAAATGGCTTCAAAATATGGCATAAACTATGGATAGCTTCATTCTACCTATGCTCAGCTAAACAAATCAAGAACCTACCATAGATTGACTTTATCAACAAAACTAAATAAAATCTAATGAAGATTTTGCTTGTTAAAGTATCTCTTCTCCTTAACAGCACAACTCTGGAGGGCAAAAAATGCTAACTGCCTGGTATAAACCACAGACTCTTACAGAGAACTTTAAGCTGCTAGTCCGAAAGTTCACTGCAACTGGCATTATAAGCGTATACTGTGTGTAGTTTATGCAGTGTGTGTTGTCTAGAGATTTAAAAGAAAGGTTGCGTAATTTATCAGAAATCTGTTACGATTTGTGACTGGTAAGAACCACCACCAGCCTCCCTAGACAGACATGGAGCAAAGTCCAAAATTAGGGGCTAAAGCTAGAATCTAACAATTTTAATGAAGTTACTGAAAACAGCATGTACATCACTGACCAGGTTCAGTTCAGAGGTTTTGGAAAGCAGCTTCACATATGCACCACCACATTCAATCCCATTTTGGAAATTTACTTCATACCTGATTTCATTTGGAACATAAAAGCAGAAAACACAACATCACAAAATGCCCTCATTTTGCTCCTGAAGACAATTTCAGATTCTAAGAAAGGCAGCAAAACATAATACCAGCTTCTCTGTTATAGAACTTTCTTTAGATTATATTAGCTAACTGTACTTTATTAGCAGTACTAATAAAAATCAGATGTATTCAGAAGCACTGGTACACATAAATCTGGCTCATACTGAATTCGACTATTGGTCTATCAAGGTCTGTATTATCTACGCGTACAAGTAGTGAATCTCAAGGAACTCAGGTTGAGGTCTTTCACATTACCTACTACCTGATTCTTTTAACTGGTGAAGCCAGTCATTGAAACTAGATCCTTCTGCATACAAAGCGGATGCTCTACCGCTGAGCCACATCCCCAACCAAAGAGCAGAAGTCAGGGTAGTTTATTTTATTATTTAAGCTTAAATGAACAAAACATTGTTCCTACATAACAGTCTAATGCCGATGTAACTTTCCCAATCTCCTAATAGTTGACCTACCCATCTTCCCTCCTCCTCTCTTCACAATAGCCATGTAAGATAAACCAATATTTCCACCCACTCTTTAGATGCAGCAGCATGGGTGCACTAAGAGAACAGCATGAATTCATGACCAAGGCAAGATTTAGAGACTTCCCAGCTCACAGTAACTATGTGGAACATAAAGATGCCTTCCTCCCCACCCAGCCCCCAACTGCCTGTTTAGGAGCATTCTTTATGAGGACTCCTAACATTCATGAACACTCTGGTGGTGGAAAGTGCTGTGAAGTCACAGCTGACTTATGACAACCCCACAGGGCTTTCAAGACAAGAACCATTCAGAGATGTTTTCCCATTGCCTGCCTCTGTATTCTGACCCTGGTACTCCTTAGTGGTCTCCCATTCAAATACTAACTAGGGCCAACCTCGCTTAGCTTCCTAGATCTGATGAGATAGGACTTATTCTGGACTATCCAGGTTAGGACAAGGAACAGTCTACCTGAGGCTATTAGGAAGGCCTCTAGGCTTCTATTATTTTGCAAAGTGCACAAAACAATTGTTTAGGGGGCATTCTTGTAGAAGCAGCAAAGCTGTGGTGTGATGGTTCAGCTCAGGAGGTGACTTATTAGGGATAATGTCTTTCCTGCACTGTCCTGTTGCCTTAAAGAAATGTTTATATGCTACAATAACTGTGTTGTTGCCTTGCATTTGTAAGAATCGTGGTGTTTTTTCTCCCTGTTCTACAATCCCAGCCCAACTCTATTTTGTCTGCTAGATTCAAACATCATCATATCTTGTAATCCACTTAGCGATTGCCTGATATATTGTGTAATCACTTACTGTTTGAAAGTTATTATCCTTACAGTTTGCTTTGGACTGCAACTAGCTTTTCCTTAATACCTTTCATTGACAAACTTATTCAGCAGAAGTATTACTTTTGCTGGTATGATTTTTCAGCTGACAGAACACTGGATTCAAACAACTATTTATTTCCTTCTTTTGTCTATAGTACCTCAATTTATTTTGCAGTCTGTAGTGAATGTAGCCCATAAGTTAGGACTATTTCATGAATAGGGGACATTCAAGAAGTTTATTCCTGCCACTGAACTTGGTTATCCATCTTGCTCCTTATGTACCCACCCTATTCAGGCAGAATGCCAACTTTGTTTTTCTCTCTTTTAAAGTTCAGCATGAATCTGTCACTTCTAAGAAAAGGGTGAAGATCTATTTTTAAAAGAACTGCTACACCACTCTAGGAACAGGAGACAGACTTACTGCACAATGAGGGGTTTGGTATCAAAGACAAACATCTTGGTGAGTTTAGCAGAGATCGCATGATGTTTAGCCCGGGACAACAGTACAAGTCCTTTGTCCCCTGGAAGTTTTGTTTCCTTCATCTCCTGTATTTCCCATTTGCCTGTAAGAAACATTATAAGGTATCAAGCAGCTCCTGGCTCTTAACTTTTGTACTTCATAGTAAAGCTAGACTGCCATTGTGCACAACACAGACTCCTACATAATGTTCAATCCTCACATTTATATTTACTAGAGTTTCCATTGGGTAAATTACTCAACATATTTTACTGGAGAGCATTTATTCACTATTTTGTTACTGCTGACAGCAATAATCAACAGATTAAGTTCACCAGTAAACACAAATGTACAGAAGACTTAACTTTGCTGAGGGATACAGCCCAACTGATATCTAGAAACACAATTCTAAACCCAATGGATACAACTAGGAGCTACTTCACACCGAAATTAATCCATGCCAGAATTAGACACACAGTTCTCTAAAAGGCCTGCTTTAACATAAGAAGTCTACTATGCAGGTGCCACTGGGTTTGTTCATGTGGGTGATACCAATGTTCCCTCTAAGCTCTACAGTGTAATGAGCAAAATTTTTACCTTGTGAGCAAAAAAAGCTAGTAGCATTAAAGTTGTGAGCAAGTCTACATTTGACTATCGTGTAGTTTTTTAGAAGATTATTTTCATAACTTTGTAAAAATCTTAGAATTATTTTAAATTATATTTAAACTGTATTTTAAGAATAATTTAAACATTATAAGAGAAAACAGAATCAAGTCAAATTTCACCCACACCTTTCCACTATATTGGTAGACTTGTCCTCCAGAGAACAGACCTTCCCACCCTTTTCCACTATATTGGCCTCTGGAGAACAGGTCTACCTGTCCCAGTCCACTATATTGGTAGACCTGGCCTCGGACCATCACCATACATTGAGCCTTAGAAAACATACCAGCACTTTGGGGTGGGGATGGGGGACTCTTGCAGTCTACTTTGTTTCTTTTAGTAAAATATGACAACCAGCATCACAGGTCAAGTATAACAGAGGTGTATCAATCACTGTAAGAACCCTGCCTAACCTAACAAACAGGAAGTTGCTTAAAAGTCATCAATCTGCCCAAACTACTTATTATTCCAAGTATTTATATCCCACTTTCCCCTGTGACTCAAGGCAGCTTACAAATAATACTGAAAAGCATTAATAGGGGGGTGCAAAAAATAATAATGATTTTTTCTGGCACCATTACAGCCCATGGGGACCATTATACTCAACAGGCTCCATAGGCTATAATGCAGAATCAATCTGAGGTATCTGGGGCTCGGGGGAGGGGGGCTGGTTTTTGAGGCAGAAGCACCAAATTTGCCGCATAGCTGCTGGGGGCTGTCCTTTCATAGCTGCTCGTGGCCTGCCTCACCCCCCCCCCCCAAAGTTTCAAAAAGATTGGACCAGGGGGTCTAATTCTATGAGCCCCAGAAGGAGGTGCTCCCATCCTCCATTGTTGCTGATGGAGAAAAAAAATGCCTTCTCAATTGACTGCACTACCAGCTAAGTTCCCTGCACTGCCAACTAAAATGTTGTGTTCCAGCACCCCCTTGCGCAGCTTAGAGGGAACTTTGGATACATGCAGAAAATATTACCGTAGTAACTTAAAACTCTGTGCACATTTTTCAGAAGAAATCCATGAGCCAGCTACTAATGTCCTATGCATAGTTGTTTACTGAAATGACGGTGCGGATCTTCAATTCTAGCATGGCATTTTCCATATGAATAATTCCACAAGACTTTTCAGAAGAGAGCTAAGTACCATATGTCAAAAAACTGTTGTAAGTACCAGGTGAACAGACTTGGTGAGTAGGTGTCAATTTCAATGCTCTTAAAGGATTCTGGCCTACTTCTCACTAGATTGTATCTTACTACTCTGCTTAAGGGCAGTACATCTCATTAGCTGGATTCACGTTGGTCTGATGGCACTCACTGCCCTCACCTGAGCTGCAGGATACAATCCTCTGTGTATGGTATGTGCCACTACAAATTGTAGCTGAGGCTGTAACTGAATGGTCCTCCTTCCAAATACATACTTTAAAATAGAAAATAGCATGTTGGGGAGAAGGCTAGACTGCAACCCTACTCTTAGGCAAGCACACTTTTAGGAAATTCTAATGAAGTGATAGAACCCAGACACAAGTTTACCACTGCAGTGAAAACTAAGCCTCTGTGCCACATGAATATACAGGCATAAATGCAGAGGCAGCTTTAGCTCCATTTAAGTCAATAAGACAAGCTTATTTCAGTGGCCTTAAGAATAAAACGAGGTTGCACTTACCTGTAACCGTTGTTCATCGAGTGGTCTTCTGTGCAGGGACACATGGGACTGCACAGTCGCAGGCCAGCCACGGAAAACACTTCCAAGCTCTCTAATAGATTAGGAGCGCCCCTCCTCCCTCTGGCGCTTTCCTGCCAAAACACTCACATGACCAGGAGAAAGGGCGCTACTTCCTCAGTTCTCTCCATACCACTGCCGGAGACCCCTAGAAAACTAAAGTTCCAGAGAGTTCACAGTGGGGCAGGAGGGAGGGATGTGTGCCTGCCCAGAAGACCACTTGATGAACAATGGTTACAGGCAAGTGCAATCTCATTTTCATCGTCGTGGCTTCTGTGCAGTCCCACATGGGAAGATTAGGAAGATCACTGTGTGAAAGAGGTGGGTGTGAATCTCTCAGAAGAACACAGAGGACCACTTTATCAACAGTTGTTGTCTGAGTGGACAGCAGAATTCACAGCATCCTGTGAACTCCTAGCATGGACTAGGGTAGGGTAACATGATTGATCTGAATTAAAGGAACAGGGGGAGCTTCTGGTTTTGGCGTGCTGGTGGCAGCCGTGTCTCTGGGACGTCTCCCGGGACACGATCCATGGACCAGTGGGTAGAGAGGGGGTGTAAACGTGTGCATCCCCCCTGGGGCCTGGAGAAGGGTCCCTCGGCATGGGGCTTGGGGGGTCGCCGTCTCCCTGGCACTCTGCCAGTGAGAGAAGGCGTCCCCATCTGTCCCGAAGGTTTCTCCCATGATCCCAAATGGGACAAAGCAACCCCAGGACAAGCGGCTGGGGGTTCGGCAAACGTTACCTGGCAATACCCGAGTGACTGGACACTGCGGAGTTCAGTGAAGCGAGAACACCAAGAACCGAGTGAATTCCATTCCACGATAAGCCGGGGGGGGGGGACCTCCCCGTTAAGAACAAAATAAACGGAAAATAAAAATCTTTCCAGAAGGGATGGAGAATTTAAAAGGAATTGACTGTAGCAGGGAGTCTCCTGGACTCACATAAGCTGCTGCGCAAGTTTTCTGAGACTTCGGCAAATTCAGCTAAAAATAAATTTTAAAAATGGCAATCGGCAAGGAGTGAAGAGCAAAAAACAAAGTACGAGCTTCTCTCAGGAAGTAGCTGAAGACCTGGATCATGTGACCAGGAGCACCATAGACTCTTGCAGGCTACATGCAGGGATTTGTGCTATGGTGGCAAGGAGGAGATACTACATATGAACTGACTTATTTCTAAGGGATTATGTTAACATCAGAGAAGCAACCAGCCTCTGTTCATAGGATCCATCTATAAAAGGAGGGTCCAAACTGGATTAAAGTGGTGGGGCCCACATGCAGACGTTAAGCGAAGCCGAAAGCGAATACGTATGCCTCGGCATTACCCGAAATAAGTCTGGTGGACAAATGGATGGATAGACTCTCTGTAAGTTTGGCTTTTTTAAGCAACAAAGGGACGGATGTCTAAAACTGTAGGCTTGAACTTAAGCGGAAGTCACGGAAAATGAGACTTTACTCTGATCAGTTCCAGTTTTAGCAGGACATTGCCACAGGAAATTCATTTAAGAAGAAAGACGCGTTCAGATCTGGAAGACGAATCGGATTTTTTATATGTACTGAGAGAACTTTTAACATTAAGCTGCTCTGAAGGGAGATGGAAAAATAATTGTAAAATGAGATGCCACTGTTCTTGGAAATTTGTGTTTGGCACTGGTATTTCTGGCCACTGTGGGATACAGAGTGTTGGACTGGATGGGCCTTGGCCTGATCCAACATTGGCATCTCTTATGTTCTTATGGTCTGTCTTTGTAATTGAGGATGATGATTTATCACTTGCAATGTTAAGAAAAGCAATTTTTACGGCTAAGCTAATACTTTATAAGTGATGTAATAACCTCCAACTCTTGGGGTTTTCGTGGGTTTTCTTTCCTTTCTCCATAGTCTGTAGACCCCTCCCTTTATTTCATTGTAGTCTTTAGAGAATGCAAATAAAAAATCCCCTACGGGGGGCTAAAAAAAAATGAATTAACGGAACAGATTCATCATGGGGCTGTGAGCCACAGGGCATTAAGATACGTTCAACAGAATACTATAAAGGTCATAGTGACCTGTTGATACATAAACTAATGGGAAAATGCAGTATAGAAAGAAAAAGAAACAAACTGCATCCCATCTGGGTTTATTTTATATCATCAATACTCTGCACTAGTTAAATAAAGAGTAAGTGGTATCTGACCTGTAGGCCAACAGGAACAATATAGATGACCCATGGAATCAAGAATGCAATCACTGATTGGAGCAGAGGATGCAACAAGAGCTATTAATTATAGTTTGCATGTTGGACTCTTGTCTATTAGGGCAGCTGTTTCAAGAAGAAAAAAAACATATGCTGTCTTTTAAAAAGAGTGGTAAGGAGTCTATCCTACTCTGTAACCTGGACTCAAACAGCCTTATAACACCTCATCTTTCTTTTTTTCTAATCCTCATTAAAACCCTGCAAGGCAGGGCACCATGAGAAGCTGTGAAGGTGCAAGGTCAGAAAATTGTAACACAATTTGATATTTGAACCTGGTCTCCTAGGGCCAGACCAACACTGAATCCACAAATGACACTGGGTGTTGCTGTGAATGATGTCACATAACAGTGACTTGTGCAGGCTAAGGAATCCACCAATTCATTGTCGGTTCCAAAGGATACCATGGAACCGAGAGGAGTGGCAAACTACTTAGGCTTGCCTCCCAAAGCATACTTGTCGATTAATTCTGAGTTCCCCCTCCCTAAAGATGGAAACAGTAAGCCTTGCCTCTGCTTGAAATAACATCTGCATTGAAAAGCCCTGTTTAAGTATCAGTGCTGAGAGACTGCAGCAAAGCAGTGGATTGAGGCTGCTGTGTCACTGTGACACTACTGTGTCAGCCTTAAAAACTAGTTCGTAGGAACAGGGCTTCAGCAGAGAACTGGTTCTGACCTTGGAATCCAGGCAGTCCCACAGAGTGAGTGGTCAAAAATCACAGCAGGACTTAAGCATAAGTAGTCTGTTGTCTAGGACATGGCTAACAACATGAAGGGGAAACTCTACCCACTTCAGCCACTCTTCAAAACTACAGAAGCTGAAGAGGGCCAAACAACCCCAACTAAAGGGCACAATAGCATTCTGACACAATACCTTCCACAAAGGGGCATAGAGTATTACAAGGCTGTGTGAACCCATGCCTCCACAGATTCAGCCATAAACCTGAGGACAGACAGGGAAAGGCTCCTTCAGTCACGCACAGCAAAGGTTTAAAACGGGCTTTCATTAGGCCACACTTCCAGGCTTCTGGTCAGAACTGACAGAAAGGCAGAGAGGAGGAAAGTTTCCTTCAGACAGGCAGCCTCTGCCAGGCCACGCCTCCAAGGTGCTTCAACAGAAGCGATGGGAGTGGCTCGCTCTCTCTCTCTCTCCCCCCCTGAGAGAAGGGAGGGGGGAGGGAAGGGCTTCTAGGTCATCGTCAAAGGCACAGAGGCCAGAGACCCCTCAGGGAATGACTAGGCAGAAATGCTTCAACATCAAGGGGGTTGTGACTTAAAGGCACACAGCCAAAGCCCATGAAAAGAGCCAGGTATTCTGAGGCTCTATCTACAACACCTCCATTCAGACTGCTGCCACACAGGTGAAACTTCCTAAGAGGGCCACTGAAACCAGGATCCTTTTTTTTTTAAACTACACCTCAGCAGAGGGGGGGGGGGAATGTGCCTTATCAGGCTGCTGCCACACAGGCAAACTTCCGAAGAGGGCCATTGAGAACAGGCTCATTGTCCACCACACCTCAGCAGAGGGAGGAATACACCTTCATCAGGCTGCTGCCACACAGGCAAACTTCCGAAGAGGGCCATTGAAGCCAGGTTCATTGTCCACCACACCTCAGCAGAGGGGGGAAATATGCCTTATCAGACTGCTTCCACACAGGTCAACCTCTGAAGAGGGCCATTTGGGCCAGGCTCTTTGTCCACCACTCCTCACCAGGGAGGGGGAAGCCTTTGACGAGAGAGCTCTTCTGAGTCCAGCTCTTACCATATGTGCCTTCAGAGCAAGAGCAGGCAGCTCTGCTGTGTGAACCCCTAGGCAGCCAAGGCACAGAGAATGGCTATTTATCAGCACCATTTTTAGTCATACACAGTGGAAATCCACAAAATATTTCCTCTTTAGATATATTTCATTGTTCACTAGAATAAAAACTGTTTAGAGAAAAAAGTCTCCTGTCTCAAAACTGAGGTCAGGAAAAAACAGAGAACAGCAGTGGAGATCTTCTCTCCGCGGCGGCAAAAAGAGAACTGAGGGAGTAGTGCCCCTCCTCCTGGTCATGTGAGCGTTTTGGAGGAAAAGCGGCAGAGGGAGGAGGGGCACTCCTAATCTATTTGAGAGCTTGGAGGTCTTTTCCGTGGCTGGCCTGTGACTGCACAGTCCCATGTGGGACTGCACAGAAGCCGTGACGATGAAAACGAGGTTGCACTTACCTGTAACCATTGTTCATCGAGTGGTCTTCTGTGCAGACACACATCCCTCCCTCCTGCCCCGCTGTGAACTCTCTGGAACTTTAGTTTTCTAGGGGTCTCCGGTGACAGCATGGAGAGAACTGAGGGAGTAGCGCCCCTCCTCACGTGAGCATTTTGGCGGGAAAAGTCTTTTCCGTGGCTGGCCTGTGACTGCACAGTCCCATGTGGGACTGCACAGAAGCCGTGACGATGAACTAAACTTTCTTTGATTAGGATCTCTGCTTTATACCCTACTTCTCTCAAACTAATCAAACAAATTAGATTACATAATGAATATTAAGACAGAAGTATAGATTTTGGCTTAAAAATAGTAATTGGACTCATTCCAAGAAAAAAATCTCACGCTCTTTGTTACGCAAGTACAGGGGCTAGAGATTTCACGCAAATCTTTTCTCCATTATACACGGCCACATAAATGTTCACTGTATTAGGGAAAGCCTGACAAGTCAGCTCTACATGATTCAGAGCCCTGGCTACAAAACATGTAGTAACTTAAACGTATCAAAATAATTTTGCAAGACAACCATCTTGACTTAAATAAACATGAGAAGTATGTACACTCTGTGTTCTATAATGGCTGGGTGAAAAAACCCCAAGATGTAAACACACAATATCGGTGGCCAAAATTTTAAGATTTCTGCTCATAACACACAGAAAAGCAAGCAAGGTGCTGTACTCACCATCATATTTGGCAATTTCATCATCCGTGTCTTCCTTTTTAGCTTTGGAAATAACCCATCTAAAATTTAAAACCCATTTGACATTAAAAAATAAAGACTACAGCAAGGGCATTAACTGCAAAAAGTCCCCCAAAATTTAAATTGCTCTGCTCACCAGTTAACTGATGTCACCAAGCCTCAACTTTTTAAAATACTGCAGGAAATATTATAAAAAATTATAATAAAAGCTGTCACTAACAGCTAATAATTAATGATAATTGACCGGCAAGCTTCTATAGAAGATATACTTTCCTGTTATAAATCTACAAATGTTTCTTTGGACTAGTACTTACCCTGCAAAAGTCCCCTTATCAAAGTTCTCAGCAAAATAAACTTCTCCTGTTGGGACTGGGGCCTTGTAAGTTACCTGGTGGAGAAAAATACACAATATACATTTACTGACACGAATAATTTACTGACGCATTTTTTTAAAGCATTACTAATGATCAAAACCTTGGTTGCCCTTGGGAGGGCAAAAAGGAAGGGTAGACATCTTATAAAAAAGAAATTTAAATTATTTATACTCTTGATTTTCATGTCCATTATTATACTTGCATCAAATTATACTTCTAGGTTGATAGCATGATTACCAACTTAGCCCAACAGCTCTTTACCCCAATACATCCTTGTCAATTACTCTTCGGAGGGTCATCAACAGCATCATTGCTCCACACCCTGCTGCAGTTCCTAGGCTAAGAATGCAGCACAGTAAAATGTCAGCAGCTGAAGGTAGTGCTTTCCTGCTTCTCTTGCCTTTAAGAACCAGTAACTCAAGCAGCAAAAGCAATAGTGTTTGGCACACAACCAGTATAAACCTTTGCTGCATTTCTGACTTGTCTTTCAGCTTTGCTGTGTGTCAGCCATATTTACAACCAGCATAGCTGCAATACATTTTCTAGCCAACTCCGGTTTAGAATGAATCAGATAATTTCATGAATCACACCATACTCATTCAAGGTGCTGGTGTTGACCGTACTTGCTTGGGTTCCTAATACAGATCAACCTACCTGAACTCTGAGAACACAGCAGAAACCAGCTTTATATGAAGAGGCCAGATGGGACCCATGGAAGACTCTTTTCAGCCTTTGCCTTCAGAACTAATTAACAACATTTCTGTTCTAGAAAGTCTCTGGCCTACACTAAGTGACTGTGGAAAATACCCACTGGTTTGAAGAGGTGCTTGGAGTTTTTATCCAGGTGGGCAGCCGTGTTGGTCTGAAGCAGAACAAATTTTGAGTCCAGTGGCACCTTTAAGACCAACGAAGGTTTATTCAAGGTATGAGCTTTCATGTGCAGGCACACTTTTTCAAATACATTGGAATGAAAGGTCTTCTGTTGGTCTTTAACCTTTGTTGGTCTTAAATGTGCCACTTGACTCAAAATTTGTATGTATATTCTTTTATTCTTTTCATTTTTCTTTAGAGTTGGCTTCCTTGGAAGCCTTTAACAAAACCACTGCATATAAGATATAAGTAATTACAGTTCAGTCCTCCAAAGTTTAAACAAGTAGAGTTGTCTTTCCAGTATGACAGAAAATGATTGCAGTTTGCCATATATCTGCTTGCAAGGCAGCAACTGTTACTTGTCAAAGGCAAGCAGCAAATTTCCCAGTTAGGTTAAAATCAAAGTTAGCTATAACTAGAAAGCTGCAGATCTAATCCCTCCTTCATGAGGAAATTTATAGCAAGCATAATTACTGGCTGGGGAACTACCCTGGAATCAAGGAATCAACCAAACCTTTGGGGGCGGAGGAGGAGTACTGGGTTCATGCTTCAGCTCCTCTACCTCCTCAACACCATCATCAAGGTCATCTTCAATATCTATCGCATCATCATCACCATGGTCAAATTCATCTTCATGTGCCTGGATACTGGAGGTTCCAACTAATAGCAATGCTGCATACAGCAACCAATTTAGTTTCATGGTCTATATATAAAAAGTATAAGAGAAAAGACTGATATCAGACACTGCCAAACCTGTCAGCAAACTCTAGAATCCACCGTCTTCATAATTCAACACATGCGTTACAGGGAAGTAAGAAAAAATGATTCTGTATGCACCATACCTAACCATTACATCCCAGTTTCCAAGTGGACAAGAAATGTAGGGTGATTGGCCAAATTTAAAAAACAGGTATTTGTATCTCATTATGTACTGCACAGAACTTACACATTGGGCAGTAAAATTTCAGCAGCATATAGATAGCCTTCAATGCTAAAATTATGAAGTTGCATTTAGTAGCCTAATACGTGAAGTAAAAAGAGATGCTCAAAGCTAAAATTATGAAGTTGCATTTAGTAGCTTGTGAACTTGGAAATAAATTATGCATGAATCAGTCAGAACTGGCAGAAAGAATGAACTGTCACATTAAACTTATGAACATCCATTTGTCAAAGTGTTTCAACCAATGCATTTTAAGTTTTGATGGAGCTATTCAAGTCTACAAGCAGCCCCACATTACATGGAAAGTTCCCTTTTCCTCCTTTTGTGTTTTGCTGTGGACAGGGCAAACACAAAGTGCACATCTGTAGACAGCATCACTACCTACAGGTCATTTGGGCTCTGTAGAGTACCTCCTCCCAAAATTACTTGAAAAGCAGAGTATCCAAATAGATATGTCATAATGGGTTGAATCCAGCAGAAAATTTGCCTGTAAAAATTTGCCTGTAAAACAAGTTGACAAGGCGGAATTTTCTCCACATTTCCTCAATCAGCCTGCCATTTGTCCTGAAACTTCTCTCTGAGTATCGGAGAACTTCATTAATAAAAGGAACCATAGGACTGGGTGCTACTCTGATGAGGAAATCAAGTAAAAACTGCTTCCTCCTCTTTTAATGCAAGCCATTAGCAGAACTAGGAGGCGATTCTACTTTATTTCCCCCTTGCTGCCTCATCCTGCAGAGCGCTTTGTTCGTGAGAGTCTCAGAGAGGAGTTTCAACACAAATTGCAGACAGTTAAGGGAAGATATGGGAATATCCACTGGGCCAACTCTTTCCACATGCTGCTTTCCACATTCTACTGGATCTCCAAGGGGAAAAAACCTCTGTCCAGAATATCATGTAAATCTCAAAAAAAGATGATTGTTTAGCAATAAGAGAGCTGCATGGATAATGGAGTGTGGGAGCTTACTGCGAGCCACTGGAAATTCTATTGATTGGTTCCCAGGCCTTTCACGGATACTGTCATTCAGTTTCAGCCTACATAGGAACTTTGACAGTAACTTTTGGACATCACTATTCAGCCCTCAGGGCTTTCTAGAATAATGTAGTTGTTCTTGGAAGCACTAAAACATTTTAATGAAATCTTCTATTTTGAAATGAGAATGATTTTTATGCAACATAAATAGCATAGGAAAACAATATTTTCAAATATATAGTTGTTTAAATGTGACTAATCTGGACTATAACACACTATGCATAATGAAAAGTTCACTGTTCAAAGTTCACATTTAAACTAATATCCCATATGTTCTCATTCCTAATAAGACTGTATGGGACAGACCAAGTATTCTGTGCTTACTATAAAATTTGTGTTTTCTATTTTCAGTGGTAAGAATTAAACTATTATGTGCCAAGGTAGCATAGGGCCAGCAGTTTGCAGCTCTCTTGTACCATAGTTTATTATTATTATTATGGCCCATGGCCAGCATAGATCGAAACAAACCAGTTTACATAAAATACAGAAAGTGCACAACCATTTGTATAGAAATATAATAAAATGTACAAAGACTTAAGAAAAAAGTGTTTAAAAGAAAAAGGGAACTTGTAGTATCCTGGGGGGGAAATGCAAAACCTAGGGGACATTTATATCACTCCTTTATGTAATCTTTGCGGATTCTAGAGGCTGCAGCCAAAATTCTGGAGCAAGCGAGCGTAACTTGAGGGTTAGAATCCACCAAAAGTATATTCCTTAATTCAGAGCCCGGGAAGCGCTCTCTTGTACTATTATTCACTTTTCTGAAGACATCTAAGACATTCATATTTTTACATTTCATATATATAACAGATAACAGAACCGTATATATGGTATAACTGAGGCCTTCTACATTATTAAAACTGTAATATAAGTTCAGGACAGGTTTGAGAAGTATTGCATTTATATCAATTTTTCACCAAAACTTTTAATGAATCCCCCTCATGGTGTAGTGGTTAAGTGTGCGGACTCTAATCTGGGAGAACTGGGTTTGATTCCCCACTCCTCCACTTGCACCTGCTGATGTGACCTTGGGTCAGTCACAAGCTCTGGCACAGCTGTCCTTGAAGAAGAGCAGTTTGTGTCAGAGTTCTCTCAGCCCCACCCACCTCACAGGGTGTCTGTTGTGGGGAGGGGAAGGGAGAGGAGTTTGTAAGCCGCTCTGAGACTCCCAAGTGAAGGGCAGGGTATAGATCCAATCTCCTCCTCCTCCTTCATGATTTCCAAGTATTTCACATCTCTGTCTTGCAGCAATTTACAAACTGACTTATTGAAAACATCGATCCATAAGAACATATGCTTCTACAAATCTGTTAGCCTTTAAGGCACCACAAGACATTTTTTAATTGCTGCCATGAACTAACACAGCTATCTCTCTTGAATGCGCTAATAATTACTGGTGTTTCCTTGAAGCCAGGACAAAGCTGTGCCAAAAATCATTGAAAGTTTTACCTTACACTTCTAAAAACATGACATTTCTACACTTCTCAATGCCAACAAGGAACACAAGTATTTTCTCTAAATTAAGCCATTTCTAGTCCACTTAAAACACTATGATTTTGTAGACATGTAGCTCAAGATGTTATCAGAAAATTCAAAATGGAACAGTCACCTAACCTCAAAGTTGGGGCATGACATTAATCTCAATGCACAGGCCAATACTGAAGTACACTGAGACAGTTTCATTGCTTCTTCAGATAGCCACTTACACTCAGAAACAGAAATATATTCGCCAAATCCAAGCAACTTTTATAGCCATATTTTATGTAATTTTACAAATGCAAATGATTGGGATGGACTCACTCTAGTATTAAAACTGCTAGAACGCTAGAGCCCTAAAATTCAGGGAATACATACCTACGGACAGCTTGATTACTAGAAAATCTGAAAAACATATTTTCTCCCCAAAACAGGGGCTCAAAATGTACCCCTAAATAGTTAATTTACTTTCACACTACCCTTTATGGTAACTCAAAGTATACCCCCAAATTGTCAAAGTATTTCCTGGATGACCTGAACAGCAGCAGCAGCTATGAACATTCACTTAAGCTTATACCTTTGTTAGATCCAATGATTCATCCAAAACGAAATACAAATAAGCTTGCTTTTACTTTGAGCATTTGCACCCTCCAGAAGACTCCTGCTCAAATGGTAATCAATTATATTTAACAATTAGCACAAATGGCATTATTTTTTAAAAGTCAAGGTCTTCACAACAAAGATACATTTGTTTTAGCACAAAAATTAGTACATGAACTATACAAGCTTCAGAATAATGCTAATAAAGTGAAATTAAATGGAATTTCATTGTTCTGAAGCTATATACTCCTAAATATTGTACAAACAAAAGAAGAGGGCTGTTGCCTTCATGTCCTGCTAATAGGTTTCACAGGGCTGACTACGGTTGGAAAGAAAACAATGAACTAGATGGGTCTGAAAAGATAACTCTGGATGCAGAGCTTCCATGGAGACCATGCGTCCTCTGACCGGCCCATAGACGACACAGTCTGTAACAAAATCCATACAAGCAACTTTGACATGAATGTTTTAACACCCCAGAATTTCCCTTTTTGTATGGAAGTCTTGTGTATCTTCATGCAATGCTACACACAGTGTGCAATATCAAACTGTGCACTGATCTCTGTAAGACTACATACAATATGAAAAGGCTTCTTTATAGACTGTTCTACTTGTTATTTTTCCAGATAATTAGTAGTGAGAAGTACAACAAAGCGTTACAATTGAACATGACGTGAGGCTACCTGTTGTAACACTTCACGGGAACCCTTGCTTATTTAAGTATGAATATTTAGCACTCACTAGAATTTAAATTTAATAATTCAATGGGAGATAAAAGGAGGCAGAAACTACTTCTGCATAGTAATATAGAGACAGGATAAGAAATCTGTCCAATTATTTTCCATTGAATCCATGCTACCTTTAAAGCAAGTTAAAAAAAAAGAATACACTCAATGCACAGCTCAACTTATCTCTAAAAAGATACAATTACTTCAAAGGACTGTATGCAAAGTACAAATTCTTCAAGATGCTACCCTGGGTTACATATATATATATATTGATCTTTCTCCTTCAGACTAGGCAAAATAGTTAGCATACTTCTGTCACAAGAAGCTGTTTCACAGTGTTTCAAGAAAACCCCATTTGGAAAAAAAAAACCAAGTTATATCGTAAGAGTTAAAAGTTAAGACAGATATATGGTCATGTTTCCCTAGTAATAATTAATCCTGGCATGGTCAGACAACAAACCAAACCATGATGTGCCACTACATAGGAATCCCTAGGCTCTGATGCCTCCCTCTTGCCCCTACAGGCCAATCTGACATCTTCATTCACAGGTGGGGTTGCCAACCTCCAAGTGGGGGCTGGAGTGGTCCTGGAATTACAACTGACCTCCTGGCTACATAAATCACTTATTCATTTATTTATTTAAAACATTTATTCCACTTCTCCTGAAGAAAATGGCTGCTTTGGAAGGTGGACTGCGTGGCACTATACCCTGCCTAGGTCCCTCTCCTCCCTCAGCCCCATTCACCCAGGCGCCAACCTCTGATCTCCAGGGATTTCTGAACCCAGTATTGGCAACCCTATTTGCAGGGCAAGAATAAAACACAGCACACCAATATAGATGTAATAGAAAGCTACAGTTTGCTGAAAACCAGCAAATAGGCAAGGAAGGAGCTGAAGAAACAGCATGGAAGCCTGAGGCTCCCTGCCAGTTTCTTCCACATGGCCAAGCCAGCATTTTGCACTACAGATAAACCAGGCCTTTGTTGTTTCTACACAACACCGACCAACTTGGCCACTAATCCACTACCTCACACTTCTGTTATCACAACGCCTTCTTAATTTTGTCCCATCCATCTTGGTGTTCAAATGCTGCATTCCTTCATGTTTTGCATTAAAACAAGTAAACAAATTTGTGGTCTGCCTAGAGCAATAATCAGAGACTGAAGGAAGCATGCAAGACTACATTTAACCATGCCAGCCGTATGTAAAGGCTTCACCCACAAGCAACATTCAGAGTATTAATCAAGGACTCACAAATCTCATCAGCAAGCCTTTTCCCTCATTGGATTCTGTCTCTATCACCATGTCCAATTACCTCAGCAAGTATTTTGGAAGCTACCTCCAGTTATTTATTCATTTCCTGCTTTTCTCCTTGAAAAAGCAGCCCACAACATTGCTCTTTCCACCTCAATATTTCCCTCACAACAATCCTGCAAGGGAGGTTAGGCCTCTGTTTTCCACTTTTCATTGCTGCAATTTGCTCCCTCACAATCCTAACATTTCTGCTTCTAGAACCACTCCAATGTTACTTGAGCTACAAATTGCCTTTTTCTGAAACTTACCTGATCCCAAGGAAGCAGGAAAAGGGAAAGGCTATGGGGACTTTCAGGAAAGAGAAAATGGGGGGGAGATGAGATTTTATTTATTTATAATTTCAACTTGTATGCCGCCCTTCCCTGAATGCCCCCTGCAAGTTCCTCACTTGTGCTACGCTGTTTATTCATGATCTACATGCAGAGCTGAAGAAAACAAACGACAATCCATCTGATTTTTATCTACCATACTTACCATATTCATCTTTATGTACCATATTTTACTAATCCTATGCATGCCTACTTGATTGTCACACTGAATCCAGTTGAACTTATTTCCAAGTTAAAATACACAGGAGCGGGTTAACATAATTACACAACTACTGCTTGGCAGCAAGCTTTATGCTAGAATGTCCCTGCAAAAAGGAAGAATTTTAAACATGCCAATAGCATGATATCTAGCAGCATTATTTACATGTATACCTCATTTGAAGGAACTGACAGAAAATTAATATTCCCCCATATATCTCATAACACCGGGTATGACAAGTTCTTGATTCTTGGGGATACTGAATTCTCCAGAGTTCATACTGTTCATACTGCCTTACCACAGGGTAGTCAGATGCTACAATAAAATCTCCAAATACCTACTGGTTGCAACACAGCATTTTTAAAAATTCTGCATATAAGTTAGAGAGAACTTGTGCAACTTTCAGTTTTACTAAAATGCGATATGGCTGCAGAGAGCCAGACAAAATTGTTTCATAGGCGGATTAGATTAGATTAATCCCTTACATGCAGTTACAGAGGATGTAAAGTCCCACATTCTGTGCATATTTCTATGACTGAATCAGGGTGACTTGCTGAGAGATTTCTCTATAGCCTTCTCCAATTACTCAGCAATTATTAATATTTTAAAGCTTAGTAGGGTGGACATCCCTAAACATTAGAACTTACAAAATCCTTCCTCCCACATTCAGCTACAACAATTTGTGTGCTCATTAAGGAAGGGCAAACATTCTGCATCCAAAAGCCATGCTGATTGCTTGATTTGATGGTGTTAGGGCTTGCATGCAGTGCACTAAATACTTCAAGGAATAATTCCTGGAAACACAATGGAAATTTGTTTAAAATGTATTCCTTAGAATTCTTAATTCCAACAAAACACAACCTATAATTTCCTGGAAAGAAATGTTAATAATTGTTTGCTCTTTAGTGTATAGTTAGAATCATAGAGTTGGAAGGGGCCATACAGGCCATCTAGTCCAACCCCCTGCTCAATGCAGGATCAGCCTAAAGTATCCCTGACAAGAGTTCATCCAGACACTGCCTGAAGACTGCCAGTGAGGGGGAGCTCACCACCTCTCTAGTTGCAGCTCTGTACCATAATTTATACTACAAGCCTCCACTCACTTGCTGCAAAGCATGTGTAAATCTTGCATGTACAGAAAGCTTTGATTAAGATGTTGAAATGTGTTTAATAATTAACTGACTTTTGCTGGGAAGAATATTTATGCCATGATGTTTAGATGTTACCATCATAGGACACTACAAGTGATCTACTTATTTGTAAACAGCTAAATAGCTGTTTGTTGGTAGTCAAATGTGGCTGCTATCATTACATCAGCAATATGCATAAAACCTTCTCTGCCTTGAGAAGCTCAAGTTTCCTTCACAGTCATTTCACCAAGCACAGTTTGAGCCTTCAGTTAATACATCAGGATCTTTTACAGAAACAAGTAAGATCTGTAAATTCATAAATACTTTTAAAGACGTTTAGTGCAGTTTTTACAACTTCTTGCTCCAAAATGGTGTTCCTACTTCATACCTGTACAAAGAAAAATGCCCATCATATAAATCATATAGCAGCAAAGAAAAGAATTCCAGATAGCCCCTTTGAAGAATTTTGATCAAATGTACAAGAATGAGGAAATACCAATTTAAAATTCAGGATTCCTACATTTTATGGCAGTTTGTATCCACCCTTTGCAGTTCACCTTTGCACTCTGATGCGTTCCCATGGCACACTGCTTTACCATCACTTCCTCCTTCGCACCAAGCAAGTTTTAACCCCTTGCCTCCACAATTCCAGTAAATTCTTCTGCTCACACAATCCAGTTAAACTAAGCATAAGCCAGGGTTCATTTATATTTTACATTGCTTGTTTGTGTCAACTATTTCCAGAGCTATACATTCAAGGGTAGCCTTTCAATTCCCAGGCAATTCACCATGTTAGCACAGTATTAGAATAACATCAGGAGTTAAATTCTTGAGTGTACTCACTATAAAAACAGCAATAATTACCAGTACACATTCCTCATCAGATCAAATGCTGTCAAGCATTACAGACTCTATTAAATTGACAGGAAACTTATTGAAGTGTTTCCAAGTAGAAAAAATTCTTAAAAGACTCCTTCCTTTTCCAACAGTGCTGTGTGCATCAGATCATGCATTGCCCTCTGTACCCTTTCAACTATATAATAAAATTACATTTCCCCTTATTTTATCTAATCAAAACTGCCTTCCCAACACAACATCATTCAGGATTCTTAACCTTCCACTGATGTTTTCCCAAATATAAAAGGTGCCCCCCACCCCACATCTCGAGATTCTGGCTCTGACCCAGCCGCCACCACCACCACCCCACGACAAGTGATTAGTCATACCACGCATTCACTGCATCATTACCACATCAGGCCGCATGCCTGAACACTGAAAGCTCACCTTCCCCCCTGTTGTCACTTACAAAGAGGCCCATGTTAGTCACAAAGATCCCAATACGCTCCAGACCCAGGTATTGCTTAGCAGAAAGGATCCACTCTACTCACTGAAGTCCCCACCGCCAAGCAGGCCTTGAGGCCCCAGCACATCATCATTGTACCCTCTCATTAGACATTTTACAGTCCCCCTCCATTCCCACAAGCCACTAGCAGCAACCCTTCCCTCACTGTCTCATGGCACACAACTCACTACTAGTCCGCCCGCGGCACTGCTTATCGCCCTGGCTTGGCCCATGCACCCTTTCCTCCGCTTTGCCTCTTCCAGAATCCACCCGCGAGGGAAAGTGACTGTTTGTTGCCAAAAGGCTATTACTCTCCTTTCTCGGGGTAACAGGGGGGGGCTCCAGACTCACCTCGCCGTGCACCCCACCCGCCTCAGCACTCCAGGCAGCCCCACTGGCTCTTGTCACGTGCCCCTCCAGAAAGAGACACCACCCGCTCGCGCGTTCACTCGCCACCCTGCTCTCGGCCACCAGCTCCGCCTCTACCGTTCGCTGACTTTCTACCCCATTGATTCAGACGGCCGCTGACTTCCCGCCCCTAGCCACCCTTCGGGATTTCATTGGCCAGTCGGCACTGTCATTTCGGCGAATGTGCCCTTAAGCCCCGCCCCGACGGAGCTGCCCTTCGTGGAGGGCTTCCATTGGCTGCTTGTTCAGCCAGGAAGTGGACGCTGATTGGCTGCTAAATTAGAGAAGGCGGAGTAGGAATTAAGAAGAATCCGATCCACTCTTAAAGTGACATTGGACTCCCTAATATGGGATGGCCAGACTTACCTAGGGGTGGGTACAGGGTGATCTTGTTGTTAAAGCATGGTTGAAATCCGACATGAGACACAAATGAGGAAACCACATGTTCTGTAGGCAATTGTATGAAATAATACTTATATAAAAGTATTTTTTTAAACGAAATAAAAATAACTGAGGCGTTTGCGGTAATTAGGGTAGTCTATACCGTTGTACGTAGCAGTTGCGCTTGTTGTATGGGACGGAACGTTCTGAAACAACAAATGAAATGTCCTCGGTGTGTCAATCGAGGAGGACTGTAGGTGTCTGATCGTGGGTAAAACGTTCCAGAGAAAAGCTCTCAAGCAGAGAAAATTGCTGAATGTTTCGGTAAGGAGGCAGAACTTACAGGATGTTACTGTCTTCAGGCAAGAGCTCCTGGAACCAGAGCCTCGCTGCTGTCCCGTGTACACTGGAGCATATACAAAGGAATCTTTAAAGAAGTATGTGGAGGGGACTTAGTTACATCTTATAGCCAGTTACTATCAGTGCAGTCCTATGCGCACACCATTTAATACAGTGGGACTTCTAAGTAACCTGTCAATAAACTGCTGAGACTGCCACTCTGGAATTTATTATATAAAGGGAAATAAAGTGAGCAAATCCACCTATAATGTCTTTATGACATGTTCGTTTGCACTAATTGCATCTAGAAATGTTTGGATAATTATACTGGTTTGTTAGGGGCTGGAATTGCATATTATTTATTCATTTAAAATGTTTATATCTTTCCATGGGTTAGGACCCACAAGGCAGCTTAACAAGACTATAAAATCAACAGGTGAAACATACTTAAATAGCAGTAACACACATTGGATGCGGCAGTAGAATTCCAATGGAATTATCTAGAGAAATAATAAATCGGGTATCCCAAATGCCTTATGAAATAGCAGCATTTTAACATCAACAAATTGCTTTCTGGAAAGACTTTCCGACCTAAACAAGGAGGCCATACCTCATGCAGCTACCCACTAGATGGCAGAGAGATGCTGACCAGGGCCTGTAAAGGATGACCCAAGTGAATAGAAGAAAGCAGCTACTGAAATATTCTGTCTGCTGTTTCCTCAACTATTTTTCTTATTCAAATTATTACATGTATGTTTTTTATTTAATTGATTATATTTCATCTGTTTGTGCAGTTTTAATAAGCTACAACCATCTCTCTGAGACTTCTTTTTTTAAGTAGAAATGATTTTATTAGCTGTTGTAGATTTTCTGGGTTGTATGGCTGTGGTCTTGGCATTATAGAACCTGACGTTTCGCCAGTAGCTGTGACTGGCATCCTTTTTTTTTTAATAATATATTTATTGTGAGTTTTAACAGACATACACACATATAAGACAACAACAAACATAAATCCACACATCTACTAATTTTTCTTACACACCACAATGATTGTTCCTTTGATTGTAACTAAGTGAATTGCTAAGTCTCTTTCCAGCTTTTCCTATAATTCAATCAAAATATATTTCCATTGTCAAATCCATTTTCCTACTTTTGCTCCATATAGCACTCAAATTTCCTGGTTGGTACACTTATATTCCTTCAATTTAATTCTAGGAGAGAAATAAATATTTACTTTAAATAATCACCTAAACAATCTCCAATGTTTCCACTTTGATATCATTTGCTGTACTTCAGTTGTCACCTATCATTTTAATCCTCATACCTAAATAACAATAAACATATTCCCCCTGAAAGCAGACCAAGAGCACAACTTTAACCTATAACCATACTTATAATATCCACAGCGGTTTTAACTTTCCCAAAATTAATATTTTACTAACAGATAAGCATAACTAAAAACTAAATATATTCTAGTTTATATCTACCTTTAATCCCCCACCAATATGTCTCAAATAATTTCATCTGTCCAGAAGATTCATCATATAATACAAGCCTATAAGCGTAACTCAAAATACATAAAAAACTATATTCTGGCCTAGATCTTCATTTAATCACATCTTAATTAATTTCATCTACCCAGAAAATTAATTCATTACCCAAACCACATTTCACACCCCATATATAACTGATATGATATGATTGCTTCACCTAATATACATAAACACAATATTAAACCTCACTTCTATCTTTCAAGTTTCCCTCTCATATATTAATTGTC